AAAAAAAAAAAAAAAAAAGAATGATAACCCAGGAACATAGAGTATTAAAATCACAGGAAGAGAAAGCTACAATCCAAATGGAGCCCTAGACTATGGGGAAAGGGGAGGGGGAAAGGGAGGGGGAAGGATGGGTGAAGAGAATGATATTGTGGGGATCACGCCTATAATTTATCCTGTTAGGGTACATGTGAATTTGTCTAAAGGTTGGATATAAATGTCTTAACACAACAATTACGAGAAAGACATGATGGCTATGTTAGCCAGTTGGATGAGAGTTTTCCAAACTGCATATGGAAGCAACACACTGTATCCTATGATAGAATTAATATACACAATTATGATCTAATAAAAAAAAGAAAAATGTAAAAAATAAATTAAAAAAAATAAAATCACAGGAAGTAAAAGCTTAAAAAATTTGTTTTAGGCGGTGCCTGTGACTCAAAGGAGTAGGGCACTGGCCCCAGATGCTGGAGGTGGCATGTTCAAACCCAGCCCTGGCCAAAAACTGCAAAAAAGAAAAAAAAAATTTGTTTTCATCTACTGACTGCCAGGTATCTATCTACCATTTACTAGTCTGATGTGTCAATTGGCACACTAGAAAAAAAAATGCTTGTTTTTTTAGCGGGGGGCAGGGCACAGTGTTTCATTATAAGAATAGAATAAAAACTTCAAAAACAAAATGAAGAGTGGAACAGCAAGATAGGAGGTGGGGGACTTGCCAACTGACAGCAAAAATAATGAGCAGAGGTTTCACAGCGCACAGGGATGCTACGGATCTTCCTGCCCATCCACCAGTTCAATGTGCCTACTGAGGCCCCGGCCTCAAATCTAGTGTGAGTTAAATACAGCTCACGCGGCAATTAACGTGCTACTGATCTTAGGGAAATTATTCAGTCTCTCTGAGCCTTAGTTTTTAGAATGTTTTAAATGAGACTCATAGTCCATGATCATAGTCAATAATTCATACTTCTGTCCTCAAAATTAAAGGAGGTCAATACTCTAATGTACGTTATGTGAGAGAAATGAAGAGTCAAGCTCAAGTGACAAAAGAAATGGCATAAAATTTCTGCTTTCCTTATCTAGAAGGAAGGGCACTGTGGCTCACACCTGTAACCCTACCACTCTGGGGAGCCAAGGTGGGAGGATCCCTGGAGCTCAGAGTTTGAAACCAGCCTTAGTTGCTAAGGAACCCCACAAAGAGGGGTTTACTGTGGCTGTGGCACAAAAAACTAATTACTGAGACGAGGATTGCCAAAGGAGAAAGGATTTATTTCAGAGGATGTGTCAACTGGGAGGGAGAGGCACAGCTTACCTCAAATCCACCTCCCTGATTAGCGGGGTTAAGGGATTTTTATGGAGGTGAAAATGCATAATACACAAAGGGAGTGAACCCCATTGCAAGTTTGGGCACGAAAGCACAGGGAGGAATTATGCTCATTCATACATCCTATGAACAAAAAATGGTGGACAAATCCCTCCCCGGGGTGGGGATTTTAGTATTATAATGAGCTAGGGGTTAATACCATTCATTCTTTTAGCCTTGTGGGTAGGCTCAAGGGCTCTTGGGCCAATCTGTGGGGGCATAAGACTTATCTTGTCTTTCTCTGGACATACTGGTAGGCTAAGGCTCTGCAGTTCTCTCAGGGCTGTAAGGAGGTTCTTTTGTTCCTGGGAAACACTTAAAAGAATTGCATCAGTGTATAGAAAGTTACAAAGTTCTGTTCAGCAATTTGTACTGAGACATCTCTGTTCGCTAGTTTTTCTAAGACTTCTCTTGCTATGCGGTTGGAGCTGAGATAACACTCAACCTTTTCACCCCTGTCAAGTCAAGGCCACTCAGCTGCCTGCTTCAGTGCTTACGTGAACATTGGAAACTCCTTTGGAATACCAGGGCGCTAAGACACTTGAGAATGGTAACATTTTGGTTATAAAACCAGTTACAGAGTGAGACTCCTCCGTCTCTACTAAAAACAGAAAACTAGCGGGGCTCTGTGGTGGGCACCTGCAGTCCCAGCTACTCGGGAGGCTGAGGCAAGGAGTTGGAGGTTGCTGTGAGCTAGACTGATGCCACAGTGCTCTAGTCTAGGGTAACAGAGTGAGACTGTCTCAAAAAAAAAAAAAAAAGTAAAAATAACGATGGCGGTGGGTTTTAAAAGTATTTATGTTCTACTGGATACATTCAGAAGAGCGATGACTGGTTTTATTCTAAAATGTCAATATTGACAACACGTTAGGAATTACTTTTCCGGCTTTTTGTGATAATACATTTTGACGACGTGCTCGGAGTTGTTTTTTTTTTT